ATATGGGTGCTGTAGCAAAGTGTGGTGAAATGAGATGATTCTCAGGTATCAGAAAAAGTAGCATCTGGGGTCCTAAAGACTTGTCTTAAAATAAGGCCATCTATCTGAGAAGCAACAAAGCCTACATGGAAGAAGCACATCAGCCTGTGTGGTCATGAAGTATTGATTGGATCAGGTATCAAAGACTCAGAACAAAAAATCTATCAATGTGAATGAGGGGGAGGGCGGAGAGGAGACCCAAAGCCCATCTGTAGACAATTGTACATCCCCTTACAGAAGGGTCACAAGGAAAAGATGAGCCAGTCAGGGAGCAGTACAGTACTGAGGAAACATACAATTTTCCTCAGTTCTTTAATGCTTCCTCCGTTCTCCCTCCACCATCATGATCCCAATTCTACCTTAGAAATCCAGCTAGACCAGAGTATCTACTACACTGATACAGATAAGTGCTCACAACAAAGGGAATCCAGGACAGATAAGCCTCTCAGGATCCATAATGAGTAGTGATACCAGGGTTGGGGGAAGGTGGGGGGACAAAGGGGGAACCAATCACAATGATCAACATATAACCTCTCGCCCCCCACCCCAAGGTTGACAAACAACGGAAAGGAGGGTGGAGACAGTGGACGATGTAAGATATGAAAATATTAATTTCTAATTTATCAAGGGTTCATGAGGGAGGGTGGGGGAAGGAGAGGAACAAATGAGCAGATACCAAGGGCTCAAGTATAAAGAAAATATTTTGAAAATGATGATGACAACATATGTACAAAAGTGCTTGACAATGGATGGATGGATTGTGATAAGAGCTGTAAGGGCCCCCAATAAAATGATTTGAAAAACAAGCCAACCAGTGGTCATCTAGGTGATGTGTTAACCCAGTCCACCTGGAATAAACAAACCAGTCTGTATGACTCAAGGATTGTAAATAAAATCCAGTCTCAAGGAGGCAATGATATCAGAGCTTAAATCCTGTACACCCAGTTTACAGAAGGCCATGGATGACAGTGGAAACCCAAAGTGCATGTGCAGAATCCCCACATGGATCAAGCCTCTGGCCAATCCCCTCTGACCACAGTTGAGGGATGTGACAAGCCTTGCTAACAGACAAGAGCACTATAAAGTTGATTATAGCAGATGTAGGTAGTTAAAATAGAATACCTTACCATTCGATCTCCCTATTGATCCATTCTAAAGTTGTTTTCAGTATTTTTAACATTTTCTGCTTTTTGATTGAGATTTCTGTTTGGTCCAGCTGTTGTTGTTGGTTTTGTTTCGTGGGATTTTCTGTATCTGAAATCCAGGACAGGTGGACCTCTAGGTAGTAAATGACTTAACTGCCTAGGTACAAGGCAGAGGTGCCTGGCTGAGAAGAAAATGTTCTAAAAATGATAGTGCTCAAATATCCTCAGTGTGATAGAATGACTAAATTGTAGGAGGGGTTCCACCACCCCACCAAAAAAACCTGGAATTTCACTGGGCAGAGGAGAGCTTTTTCAGTAATCATTTTTCCTGCTAGGCGAGCATTGAGCAACTTGTTCTGATTTAGTGCACCCAGTGGCATTTTCCTGGGAAGGTTTTCTGGTCACACTGAATTTTTTCTTAAAAAGTTTTGCTTGAACTTGTTTTTTTGTGGTGGTCGATTTAAGAGAACAGCGTGTGGCTGTGAAATTTTGTTTCCTGCTTGGGAAAAGATGCCTCAGAAACTGTTGTGATGTTGAACAGAGCGTACAAGGACAGCACTATGAGAAAATCTCAAGTGGATGAGTGGTTTTCTCATTTCAAAAAAGGTGAAATGTCGATTGATGACAAACCCTGTTCTGGGCGTCCATCAACTTTCCAAACACGAAAATGTCAACTCGCAGCACGTGTGGATTTCATTTCACCAGGTCAGACTGTTAACCAAGCTTTCTATTTAGAGGTTCTGCAAAGATTGCATAACAGATAAAAAAAAGGTCTGATTTCTGGCAGATGAGGGACTGGTTTTGCCACGACAAGGCACCTGCTCATGCAGCCATCTCAGGGTGCCAATTTTTGGCAAAAACCAGCGTGCCTCTCTTGTTTGAGGCACCAAACTCACCTAACCTCGCTCCGTGTGCCTTCTTTTTGTTTCTGTGAATGCAGATGGAAATAAAAGGTCAGCAATTTGATCAAGTAAAAGAGGCGGAGAACAAAACGAGGGAGGTGCTGTCAGCCATCCAAACAGATGAGTTTGAAAAATGTTTCCAATAGAAGGGCAGATTTGACAAATGTATTAAGTGTAATGGAGAGTACGTTGAAGGTGACAAAGTTGTTTTGTAAAAAATACAAACATACAGCTTTGAGGAAAAAAATCCATTTTGGGGGGTACCGCCTCGTATGATTTTTGAAGGATATGCCAATAAAACGAAAAACAACAAAAAAGGCCTTCATTAGGCTTCAAACTGCAGCTGGTCGGTTTGAACTGAGCAGTCCACTATACTATGGCCTGTTGAGCTGTCTTGGTTTCTCAGTGCTGCTGCAGTAAACCAGCACAAGTAGTGTCTCTTAAAGAACTGCTCATTTTCTCACAGCTGTGGAAGGTGCAAATCCAAATCCGAGCGCTGGCCCGGCTATTCCAGGATCCCTCGGAGATTCTCACGTGCAATCTGTTCCTCTGTGTGTGTACATCTGTCTGTGTGCATCGCGTCACTTTGTTAATGACTCATAAGTGATTAGATTGATTTACTTTTGCACAGAGCGTAAATTTATCTGGTGATTGCTGCTGGCAACCATTTTCCAAGAGACAGGATGGGAGAGCTGCCTTTGACAGCGAGGAGGCCTTCGTAGCCACACACAATCTCACAGGAGGAAAAGGCACAGGATTCTGGGTACACCGCGAGGGAAGGGCTGCCCTCAGCCATTCAGCATCATCCCTGGGAGCTCGCCATCGTTGACACCACCATTGCTGTCCTCATGCCCTGCCACCAGCATCTCTGCCTTCTTCCTGTCATCTTCTCGCCTAATGTAACAAGGACGTGCCCCGTGAAGGTGCCGTTCCCCTCCCTGTCAAATCCCACCACCACGCCCAGGCGTTCAGCGTAGTCCTCATGCCCTGGTCCTTGTTCTTGGCCAGCATGGACAGGAAGTGCTCAAAATCCAGCCCTTTCACATTCATCTCATCACTCTTGGGGTGCCCCCAGGACCTTAAGCACCTCAGTGTTGGAGCCCTCAACACATCCCCACACTGGCTGTTCCATCGAACAGCTGGGAGCTCTCGTGAACCTCCACATCTGGACTGCTTAGGCTCCGTGACCTTGCCCCGCAGTAATGGCCCAAGTGATTAACTGTAAAGCTCACGCTACCTGGGTCTGATTTCATGAATAGAGCAAAGGAAAATGGATTTCTAAACTGGGGCGACACACACAGGTGTAGGGGATAGGGTTCTAACACATATCTCGGGGGGAACACAAACACAATTTAACTAACAGGCTACACTGTTGCAGAGGCTATTAATGCTTACTTAACCCTTGGTGCCACCGAGAAGACTCTTGACGTCACCAGGCAATAAAGGAACTGCCCCCCCCCCCCCCCAGTACAAAAACTTGCTATGGTACCGTTTTGGTTGTTAATTTATCATTTGATTCATTGTGTGAGCTTGCACCTTAGCTTCTTCAAAGCTGTGAAACAGAAGAGGTCTGCAGAGGACCGTGTCACATCGTTTTCACCGCAACAGTAGGCGCTATGAGCGCGCCCCAACAGGTGTCCGCTTTTTTATCAACCGTTTGCCCAGTCTGCACAAGAGATTCCCAGGGTACATTTCAATGGCAAAAAGCAAGTAGACAGTTCCTGTTCTCAAGGACTGACAAGACCACGCAGTGACCTGTTAGAGATAGGACACAGTGGACCTGCCCTCCAGGGCTTCGAAGGTTGTCACCTGTCCGGGAGAGGCACACACTTCCACATCTTTCTCCCCACGGAGGGGCTGGGGGCTTGAAGCACTGACCTTTGGTTCTCAGCTAAGCACTGAAGCCAATGAGCCACCAAGCCTCCTTCAAGGGGTCTACGGGACCAGACCCCAGCAGCCTCACAAGGCACCAGGTTTACTCAGCAACTGTATTCTGGATGAGTGGCCAATGCACATCAAGGATACAAAAGATCTTTAAAATGCTTTGGCAATGTAGACTTTCAACAGAAATAAACCAAGAGCCTATATTAATGTATTTAATAAAAACATACGATGAAATCGTTGTCAGAACCATAAAGTTTATTTTAAAAAATTATTAAAAACTAATCATACAGGAATATTAATATACTTAAAAAGTTTGCTCCCCGCATTGAAGGAAAATACATTAGTAACATCTTCCAGACACCATCTTTATAAAAGTAAAACTTCTAAGATGCTGAAATGCACTACAGCAGACTCTCTAGTTTACACTCGCAACCACAGGATCCCCATTGCTCCCCGCCAACGTGGCTGGTTCTAAATGGCATTCTGTCTCTTCGAGAAAGCATACACTCGGTATCTACTAACAGCCAGTCTCCCCAATGTGTGATTATCTTAGGTAAGCATCTTACTTTAAATACAAGTCGAGAAAGCATCCCGTGATTGTAAACATTCGGCAAGAGCTTCCAGAGTACAGCGTCGAACAGAGGTGGCCTACGAGTCAGTCATTCACATGGTCCTCATTCATTTGGATACTGCTGACATCAAGCAAGGGCAGGTTTTGAAGGCAAGTCATTATAAGCCTTACTCCTAGTTCAGTTAAGCAAGTTCTGAATGTAGAGTTTAGTGAAAACACCTGAAAAGTCATTCTAAAGACTATATATTAAGCACCATTTTCACTTACCTGAAGTATATCGAGTTAAATCCTAGCAGTATGTGTATGATCATTGATACTGGAAATTAACAGTGACGGAGGGAATCGGGGTCCCT